GGATTTTTTGCATTCTGTTAAGCAACATTTCTGAAATGTTATCCACACCAACCACCAGCTGGGTTTGAATCCAGCACATGTGTTTGTATACCCTTCTTCCCCTTGGTGACCTAATTTTGGGTCTGTGTCCAGTGATACTACTCTTGGTTATATTATATGTGCTGTCTTGGTACTTCAACTGGCACTTAGCAAGTTTTGTTTTAATGCTGGTAATTCTGCTTGATCTTTATTGTTGACTTTATTGCTTTACCGTAGTATGACCAAATTCTACAAGTTTTTGGTTCGGTGTAATTTTCCATTAGTCTGTCTCTACAGAATGATCTCATAATGATTTAGACACTTTCTGCCTTTCTGACTCTGTGTCTTTTGCACATTTCGGTGTGTTTATTGCTCAGTCTGATGGTGTGAGAGTGGCCTATTCTTACATGTGAACTTGAACTTTCTTGCTCTGGTGGCTAGTAGCTGCTGCTAATGTTGCTGTGACCCCGCAGGTTGTGTTCTGTGTGCCAGCAATCTATATTTACATTTGAATGTTGGACTTGAACTTGAACTTCTCCTAGTCACATTTCATCTCTGTCCATTGATCCCAAATCTGCACCTCAAGGTGAAACTTTAATTAGTTCCTACATGGTGGTCTTTTAATTCAGTATTAAGAGTGCTAGATGTAAAGTAGTCCTTGCGTTTCCCATTACTGTTGGTTTCTGTCAAAGGAAAAAAAGAGGACAGCAATAGAGAACAGAAGACAACAACACCACTGTTTACTTTGTACTTTGGACAGTCCTGGTTAACTTTTTTAGTGACTGTTTCTGTTTAATAACTGGGGGAAATAATAGGAATTATGCCTCTATTTATTTGACTATTTTTTCTATCATTTTTTTTAATGTAAAAATCACTTTTGTTTTACCAGATACAACATGAACACACACATACACACACGTTGCTGTTTCCATTGACCTTTTATCAGCACACACAGCATGGAAGGGTTTGTGCTATTATTATCATCATCCATGTCCTATCGACACTCATTTTAGGAGCTGAAGTGCATTGGTTATATTTCAGTACAGAGGACAAATCTTGTGATTCTGACCAGATAATGTAAGTGTCCATTAACTGTGTATGGCTCCTGGCTCACAGGAACACTTATTTACACTAATTGATAATGATATGGATTTAGTTTCAGGGGTGATGGTTTGGGATTTAACATTTAAATGTTGTTTAAGGCACAATAGATTCCATGTGTTTTATCTGAGAATCGCACTATTCTAAGGTGGAACGAATTAGTAAAAACCTAAATTACTGTAAAATATCCTTTTTATAATGGCATTGGTCAGAATTGCAATTCAGCACTTACTTCTGTGTTGAAACCTTATTGGCTGTGCTAGCTGAATGATTTCCCAGCTGCTGCTGTGTGTGTCTGTGTGTTTCCCTTTTTCAGCACAGTCAGTCATTCAGTCTGAATTAGCAAGCTGTGAGAGACAGCATTGTTAGAGAGACATACATGTAGACAGGCTGACAGACAGAGGGAGTGACAGAGCCAGAAATAGAGGGAGATGGAGAAACAAAGGACTTTATCTTTTACTATGTGTTAATTCCCATTCTATGCTAATTCCGGCTATCTAAGAGCTTCTCAGTTCGACATTTCTGTAAAAGAAAAAGTGACTAAAACATCAACTCTGTGTGTGAACACAGAGACTGTGCACGCTAATGGAGTCCTAAACGGATGACCCCTTTTAATAGCACACTAAACTGATGTGAGAACAGGGAGGCACATAGCTGAAAGCTTAGGTAAGATTATTTGGTTTTTCCACAGCAGCACACAAATGTGGCTCTCTGGCTGACTCACTGCTTTTCAGTAGAAGGCTGCTGTTGACTTTGTTACATACAGAGACTTCGTCTGCTGGTTTAACTGCCATTTCAAAGACAACTGCTTTTGATGTCTCTTCCCATAGAGTGTAAATAAAAGCTGAAGCTGTTTGTTTGATTACTGTAAATAGTACATTTTCACTGTAGTGGTATTTGAAGACTTTTAAAAGAACAATTCCTGAAGTGTCTATCCTTGTTAACTTCATATGTCTCTTCATAGACAATAGACCAGTCGCCACTGCTGTTCTGAAGTTCCTTTGAGATAACCACATCTTCTACCAGCTGGCTACACAGATATTAGAGAAGTAAATACAGTGGAATATAACATAATAAAACCCTCCTGATATATACACAAAAGGAGACAAATACGTGTTGCATCACTATCTTATGGGTCTCAATTATATGGACTGGCTAGGAATGCATTCCTGCAGCCAGTAACAGATAAGGTTGTAGCACAACACATGGGATTCTGTTTACAGTTATCACAAGCTAACAACTGAACTGTACAGCCCCAATCAAAGCCAGCATTTGATTAATTAAACTGAGGATGCAAACTGACACAAATGAACCTGACCTTCAGTTGGTCTCAATTTTTTAGTGCTCCACAGTAGATGGAAGGGTTAGTTCCTCAATTTTCCACTAGAGGGCATCATATACTTTTAGTTCTGATAGCTTGCTGAAATGTCTTGTTTGGATGGAAGGAGAGGTCCTAAATTCTTACAAATGACCAGAGATAACATTTTGACACAGTGTCTATCATAAAGCTCTATTCCTGCTAAAGACAATGATCACCTTTGTTAACTGCTTATAGGAAATGCCAGCTTATTATGACTTAAAAAAAACATATTTCCTGTCTTTCTTTCCGTACAGATGTGTGTAACAGTACTGATTTGCCAGAACTTGAGATTATCAGTTTATTGGAGGAACAGCTGCCAGTCTACAAGCTGAGGGCCGACACCATCTTCGGCTACGAGCAAGATGATTGGCTGCACACGCCACTGGTGGCCCCCGACTCTGCCCTCGACCTGACTACTGAACAGATAGAGGAGACCCTCAAGTACTTCTGTAAGTGGATCATATACTGTTACTTTAGATGATTTAGTGTAGAAATGCTATATTTCGTCTCAATGCGAAATGGTGATGATGATGTTGCTTATTGAAGTTAGAATTTGACGTTCTTATACAAAAACGTGATTCTGTCAATGTACAAATCTGAAGATTTAAGTGGTTTGTGATCCCATATCAGACAATGACCTAACACAGTGGTTGTCAACCTGGGGGTTGGGTCGCCAAAACCTTAATGGGGGGTTGCAAGGCCTTCTTGATTTTAAGGTATGCTAGAAAACATACACAGTACAAATATATACAGTAGGCCTATATATCAGCATTCAGTTAACTTCTGTGAAGAAATATAAAGTAAATTGTCAATTTACTCAATGATAGGAAATGGGTCCCTGAAGGAAAAAGGTTGTAAACCATTACCCTTACATACAGGTGTTTATGTATCAATATGTTCCAGAAAGACGCCAAATATATGTCAAACACTAGGGACAAACTTTCATGAAACTGTTATTGGAGAGTGAGAATGCATTTAAGATTGAGAGGTGAGAGATTAAAGATTTATACTGACCTTGAGAGAGAGAGAGAGAGAGAGAGAGAGAGAGAGAGAGAGAGAGAGAGAGAGAGAGAGAGAGAGAGAGAGAGAGAGAGAGAGAGAGAGAGAGAGAGAGAGAGAGAGAGAGAGAGAGAGAGAGAGAGAGAGAGAGAGAGAGAGAGAGAGATGGCCATCTGCTCATCAGAGTGTGGGCGCGACAGCTGGCCATGGTTTCCACAACAAACATACCTGATGCCTGATGGGTCACATTCTCACTCTCTGTTGGTCTATGCTTTGCTTTCTCTTGTACTCAGCCCTCTGTTGTGTATTCATGCACGTGTAGGCTCTTGTCTTATCAAACTAAAGCTGCCCTGGTGTTGGCTGTAGACCACACACACACACACACACACTTACTCAATTAATAAACACACACAGGCTCACATAAAACACGTGCAAACACTGCACACGGCAAAGCAAGGGAACGTAAAGTGTTTTTTTTACCATCAATAATTCAGTTCTAATTCATGTCTGCTTGAACTGTGACTCAGGGTAAAAACAACCCTTAAAAATAGACCAGTGTCTTATAAATAGGCTTAACCAGGAACTGTAAGTTCACCTTTATGCCCCATGCCAACACGGTCACTTTGGCCTTGACATTCATTATAGCCAGCCAGGCTAAGAGGCAATGACAAGGTCATGTTACATAAGAAACAGTACGAGACATTCTGCAAGGCGCGTTTTGCTCAATATTCATCTTTGCTTTTGTGCATTATTATTATTAATATTATTATTATTATGATTGTTATCATTATTTTATTATTAACTGTGTTCTCCACACATTGTTTTCCAATTTATCCTGATCCCAACTAGAGGCATGTTGCTCCTCATTATTGCCTCAAACAGATGGCCGGGTACACCCTGAGGGCCAGGAATGAGGAGGGATAGGTCATTTCATCCTACTTATAAAGCTGTGTTTCACTGGTAAAATACTTCATGCTAATCATCTTTAAAAAGCCATATACAGCAGATATATGATGTTATTTATGCACTTGTCCTGCTTATTCTTGACCTGGAGCTCACAGTGGTTTAAATGTTTAAGATCCCTGTGAATTAAAGGCTCATGTAACCTGCTGCATGAGGACATTTTTGAGGAGGTGATGACATGGAGGCAACTGACCAAGAGGGCTACTTGATATTATGTTGACGTCACACCCACATCTCTCACATATGTAAAATATGTGATTATTATATACTTATGTGATACGTCCTTTCCTCCATATAGTATATGATGATGAAATGTAACTGAATCTCCTGATGATGCAACCTCACTGCATTACACAAGTAAAATCTAGAACAGTTATGTGACCCCTCTGGGTAGTTAGCATTCACATTATGTGGAAGTTACTTCATTAGCAGGAATTTTTACACATCAGTGCTCTCAGTGTCATTTTTGACACTTGGTCTTGTGTTAGCTTCACTCTGCAAGTATTAGATGGTATTGAACTATACTTAATCTTTCCATATTATGCATCATAGCAGTCTCTGTTAGCGCTCTCAAGCTGGTTGACATTGAATGTTGCTCCTATTGTGATTGAAATGGGCCGTATTCAGCATTATGCTTTTGCCCTGATGACACATCATAGCTCCAGTCTCTCATGCACTCTGCATGTGCCCATTTCATCACTCCCCAGCTAAAATGTCCAATCCCTGAACCCCCATTGTGTTCATTCATTTTGGGTTAGCCACGTCACCTCTGCCAACACTGCACTGCTTTCCTGCTAACTGCTTTTACATGCTGCTCAGCCTCGGGCCTTGGAGTCTGAGCCTGTTACTATAGAAACCACACAGAAGGACAAAGTAGAGGAGAGGAGGGGGGGAGATGCTTACATACGAATGGAGGGCGGGAGCCAGCTTGTGACACTGCTCCCTCTGATTGGCTGTAGGCATCCTCTAACCCCACCCACCCCACTGTGTCATGATTATCATCATTTCTGCTGCAAAACTCGTGACTGCTGCTGCTGGCTCTCTCTCACTCTCTGTATCTCTGTGTTTATTGAGTCATTGTTGGAGATGCGGTGGTCCATGTGTAGAGCTAGAACTGTCACTGAGCAAGGAATGCTACACAAGAGAAGACAGTGGTTGTAATATGACCTCAGAAAGACTCGGCCAGAGGACAAACTGACTGCAGCACAGGAAGATAAACTGACAGGAAGCTATGAATGGACGGAGACATGAGAGGATAGAATCTGGCACATTTGCTGAAGCTTTGGAGTGACTGAGGAGAACTGATGGACAGACAGAGAGACGGCACAGATTGACAGATGACGACAGATTCCAACTGACACGTGCTGAAACGGTGAAGAATTAATGATGTAGAAAAGAACAATAAAATGACAAAATGTTTTTTTTTTCTGCTGACAACTGATGACGCAAGTAACGGTTTGGTGGGATGACAGGCAGAAATGGCACCAGCACCACAAAAAATATGGAGCATAATACGCTGACAGTTTGCTGCTAATGAGTGTGGCACAGAAAGGACATATGATGAGAACAAGCAGACTGTCACCAATAAGGGCCGTGTGCCAGCCGGTAACTGCTCAGCATGCTGGAATAGCAGAACTGGACACTGACTGACTGACTGACCAACGGACACTATCAGTAACTAGTTTGTCTCTAAGCATGCTAGGACGTTGGAAACAGTACAGCTATCTGTCAGAGTAGTGAGGATGAAGAGACGAGGCCATACCAGAGGCCAGAGGTTTCTCAAGGCAGACTACTACGAGCTGGACTGGTACTATGAAGAGTGTACTGATGGTAAGCCAACAGTCTGCTGATGCAGTGACATCTACTACTGCTATATACTAAGGGCACTGATGTCTTTGTAGAAGTTGTTTTTTTTATATATATAGTACAGTGGTATACTGTAAAATGCACTGAGTACCAAAAGAAGACTCATGCTGTCTAGAAACAATACTGACACAAGTGAGCTGCCAGGTACACAGTGGATTACATTCCACACTACCTACCAACAAGTACTATCCACCATTAATTCTGTTTCAGGGTTTCAGAAATATAAGAGGTGCTTCGATAATGCCATGCGTCTGTGTTGTAACGTTGTTTGGTAACCAATGGCCAGGTTTTATAACGTGTCCTCTGCTGACACACACTCTGAGGTTAAAAGCAAGAGAGGTAGTGGCAGGATTAAGCCGGATTGGTCAGTATTAAACAAGGTTCGTGACTAGGTAGACATTTCTCAACATAATGGAAAAAGTGGACTATAAGGTAATAAACTTCCAGAAAGATTTAAAATACCTTTTATTGTCTTTCAACTAAACCCCTAGTGGAGTCAGCTTAAACAGTTTTCTTTCTGCTCGTTTCCACAACCCAGTGAATGTGACCTGGACTGGCTTTCACAACACCAAAGAAATACGAAGGCAGATGTAACAGTAAGGACAAACACAGCAGAATTAAAGCTGTATAGCTACAGTGGCTGCTGGGTACAGTAGGTGTCGTAACAGGTGCACTGTGGCAGCTGAGTCAGTGTGGCTTCTAAAATAGGGCCAGGGAGTAGCTTATATGACGAGCTGTGGGTGTAAGAGTGCTGCAAAAGAGGGCGATACCAGCTGACCTGGAGAGACACAGGTGGTAGAAACGGTTTATTGTGAGAAGAGGTATGTAATAAAGATATAATCAGCTGGTAGATTGTCTAGGTGACAAAGTGTGTGAGTGAAAGGAAGCTAGGTTTGTCAAGAGACTGATTTTCTATTTTTATTACGATTTGGGACTGGTTAAAACAAAACAAGAAAACAACAATATTATGTAAGAAAACACAGCAAGTAATAAGGAACAGATACATATAATGAAAAGATTGCCGCAAAGCTGTAAAATGTCAGATTATTGGGGGATTTGGTGCAGTGATTTGCACTTATGTAGTATACCCCTGTTTCTTATGACATCTTGTTGTATTGTCTTGCGGTAGCCACAGTATGTAACCTGTGTGGATATAGATTATATATATACACACACACACACACACACACACACACACACACACACACACACACACACACACACACACACCTAAGACATGTGGAGGACTGATGGTGCTTGATCATGTGATGTGTGACTAACAGCAGGTTATAGCAGTGGTTGGTTTATTACCAGCCTATTGGCACCGCCTCTGGCTCTTCCTCCCTCCTCTCTGTGTGCATCTGTCTACCACTGTCTGTCTGTCTGTCTCTCTCCTCTCTTGTTTTGTAAGGCAAAGCTTTTTTTGTGAATCTGATAATATTATATTTTGGTAAAAACTGAACCGATGTGATGTGATGTGATGTGAAGGTTGGGTGCATTAAGGAAGAGAATACAGTCTATTACTGTAAGTGTTATGTGCACTATGCTGTGCACGTGTTTCAGGGATTCTCTGTAGAAATTCTTACATAACAGTTTTGAGACAGCTCAGCATCTCCTCAGTGTGAGCTGTGCCACTTGAACGTCTGCATTATTATTTAGCCTTGGCAGCTAACCCAGGTTTGATTTCCTGCTAGACTCTGACAATAGATTTTATGACTGCGCTTGATGCTGAAATGATCAAATATCCAAATGAGAGGGGACGTGCGGTTCCTTTGATAAATCTTCTGTTGGAGTGTAGAGGCAGAAATAGAAAGCAGCTGGTTTGGTGTTATTCTGAGATATGCAAGAGGAGGGAGGTGGAAGTAGGTTGGCTTATATTTAGCCCAATGATTTGCATCCTGCTGTAAGCCAACCCTGTTGATAGCAGCCTGCCAAATATTCTTTGGCACTTTTTAGAAGCCTTCAAAACAAATGGCTGGACAGTGGAGGGCAACCAGGACAGAAGGTTGGGTCTGAGAAAGAGGGCAAACATTCTTCCAGTGGGGGTGTGACAGAGTGGAGGCATAATTAAAGGAAACAAAATGTGAGCTGGGACACAAAACATTTTTGTGTCAGCAAGTGATTTGGGAAACCGTTAGAGCCCACTGCAAACAAGGGTTATTGAAGTCTGTATAGGTAATTGTCTCACCTGTATATTGTTAGTGTGAAATAAGTCCACATTCATCACTTGGAGAATTATTTCATTGTGGAAGCTTTGTTAACTTTACTCTGCTGCTGTATTTCAGAGACTCTGTCGGTCAGCAGCAAGACAGATAGTAGTTCCCTGGCTGTTTCTGCTCTGTTGGTAATGTTGCTACCGTTTATGTGCCGAAGAAAATTGTGAGTAGGAAATCCAAGAGGCTTGAAGGACGCAAGTAGAGAGATGTGAAGCCTAGAGCCATAGTCAATTTTAGCTACGTGGATTTCTTGATTGCAACAGTGTTATGCATGTAACTGTCTAACATGTTGTTTGTATAAATTCATTGTCCAATTTAGTAATTTTCTTTAAAACTACTGTATAAAGCATACCAACAGGGAAGACGGAAGGGTGTATGAAAGGAAAAACGGAAGAACAAGTGGAGTGAATGTGACCAGAAAAGCAATGGGAGAGAGAGAAAGAAGCACTAAGTGGTGTTTGTCCACGACTCCTTTGTTGCCTGCAGCATTGCATCCTAAGGACCATTGAGTGGAGTTACTCAAGCATGCAGGACGCTCCTGAGCTGGCATCAGTTTTCTAGACCAATTACAGTAATTATAACACTTGAGCAGTGACTAATGAGCAGAAAATTGGGCAGCTTTGATGTGGCCCATATTCATTTATGAAGGATCGGGTCTTACAGGTCGTACTAGCTCAACTCAAATAGTCATGTGACATTGAGATACAGTGCAGTATATACAGTTATACTCGACTTGTCTTTATGAATGTGGAAAAGAAAAGTCTGGAAAGTATTAGGGCATGTAATGGTAAATGGTTTTTAAAAATGGTCACTATATATGTATTTTTCACTATACCACCAAAGCAGCTATACCATTCATATTTTCATAGGAACGGATTATTAAAATGTATATGGTTGTTTTTGAGTGAACTGACTATCAGTAGAGCTTCTGTTGATGCTTAACCAGTCAGCCTTAGCTGAAACATTTGAATGATGTGATAAAGTGTATACATTGAATGGTTAACTAAAGTGGACATGAGTCGGTATTAATTAAACTTTTAGAAAGACTCCACTAATGGTTTAAGTTTGGCATTGGACTTTTGTGTCGATTTTCCAGAAACCCAGACAGAACACGCTGCACAGTCCGATCAGCTTGACCCAGTTCTCTCTGTTCTTGTATTTGAGGTTGATACTAACTGTCTTTTGTGCCAGTTTTCAGAGCAGAAGTTTTTATTTATTTTTAAAATATTTTTTATTTGAAGATCTATTCCCAGTTGCTTGACAAAGAAATGTCAATTTTCTTCTCACTTCAGTTCACATGAAGTTCAGTTCACTCCACTTTTATTTTAGTCATTTTTCAACCAGTACAGGACTCTGACCTGTCTTTTTTCCAACATCCAGGAATGTTGAATCTTGTCCATGCAGTTCATAAAGAGCACCGGGTGCACACTCAGTTCATATGGTTGTAGCTGTAGAAAGATGTGACAGTGTACTGTCTCTGTAACATCATAGGTTGGATCACTTTCACCTATGTCTCTCCAGACATGCTCTTGTTATAATTAAATAACATGCAATTATACTTGTTATTTGTATAAAATATAAGTATTGGAATAGCAAGTAAAACATTTTATATTAAAAATGATGTGAACATTATTTATCTTCTGCTTCACATTATATTCTTGTTAAGGGTGATTGAAGAGCGGTAAATGCTTAACCGTCTATTCTTGAAGCTCTCTTTGAGTATTCATGTGACTGTTTGCCACCACATTAAACTTGCTATCCCATGAGTCTCACCTGACCAGGTTAAATATGTGTAAAAACAGTTACCTACTGTATGAAAGTTTCACAGTGACTGGCCCCACCCTGGAAACAGGTGCAGGTCTGTTATTGTTCGCTCTGCCCTATTGTCACCATAGAGGCTGAACAGGACTGTACCAAGTTACTCTCACTTGAGGGGGGTTGTAAAATGACTTGCTTTCATTGGATCTGAAGCATACATGAAAAACTGGTATCTCTCACAGCTCTGATTTGCTCCAGTTGGTGCCAGGCTGAACCATCTCAACCCTTTAAATGGAAAAAGTTTAAATGGGTTGAGGTTTTGGATCACAGGGATAAAGGATACAGATTATTTTAAATGCTCTCATCTGTTGTATTAAATCTATTTTAACCTAGTTTTATGACCTTAAATAGCTAATGGACACCCTCGTTTATATGTGTCTCTGTGTGTGTGTGTGTGTGTGTGTGTGTGTGTGTGTGTGTGTGTGTCCACTCCCCCTGTCTGTGGTAAAGTAGAGTAGGCCATTCAGTGACCAGTCACAGGGGAGACTGGGAGGAGTCAGGTTATCTGGCTGTCTCACAGAGCTACCACGGGGCACAAGTGATACACAGACTTTTAGAAACTCACACGGCAGACATTATTTCGTACTCAGTCATGTACAATGAGAGGGAGACATACCTTACACTCCTACTGTCCTCTTTGGAGCAAACATTATGTCAGATGTGTACTTTCACATCTAGGCTCACACAGAATAAGTATTGATTCATAGTTTAAAATACACACACACACCCACAAATGCACACAGCACAGGTAGGAGCCATGGCGTTGCACCGGCAGGCTTTGTGGTTTAGTGGTTAGCTTTACTGCCAGAGTGGAGGATGGCACTGCTCACAGCCGCTGGCACCGAGACCGAGCTGGAGTCCTCCAACCAGACAGAGGAGGATGAGGAATATGTTGGTCTACCCAGTCGTGAAAGCACGCAGCTGGAGGAGGAAGAAGAAGAGGAGGAAGAGGAGTATGTCTGTCTTCCCAGTCATGGAAGCATAGAGCAGGAGGATGAAGAAGAGATGGATGAAGAGCAACAAGTTTTGTGTGAAGGTAGTCTGTGGTCTCATCGTGTGCTCTTCTTCTTGGTCCTGGCTAGTCTGCGCGCTAGCTTGCTCAGCGTATCGGACCTTTGTTCTGTCTTAATTCATTTGTTCTTCAGCTATGTGGATTTCAAAAGGGATTATTGGATATTAGTGTGACATTTAAAAGGGTAACTTGTCTCCTGTGGGCTGTGGTGTTATCCTGCAGATATCTCTCAGCACAGCATGGTTCATCTACCTGCTGATTTGACATGTTCAAATATGGGCTTGGCTCTTTATCCCAGCTTTATACCAGCATGCCACAGTATGTTTGTTACAGAAATTGCACAAACTCTTTGATATCTTATTTGATACTTAGGTTTTGAGCTTGTGTTTAGTCTGGGATTTATTTCAAGGTTTAATATTCAGACTGAATTTTTCACAGACATGGTTAGAAAGACAACTGGAAGACAGAGACAGGGGCTGTTGATGACACAGAAGGATGTGCATTGTGAGATATATGTATATAAATCGAAGGCACTGTACCACACTTCTGTGATCTGATCAACTGAAAGTAACTAAATGAGGGTTTATTACAAAATATGCATGAAAGGAGAGAAATTCTGCTTTCACTTTGATCCTGTGTGAAGCATTTCGGACAGTGCATGAGACACTGGCACACACATGTTTTTATTGTGGCAATTCAGATTATTATCAGCCCAGGTCCAATAAGGAAATCGTACTTAACACACTCGCATTACATGACATTTTAACAGCTCCACGCAGCCTGGGATCGGGGGTAGTTATTTGAATAACAAGACTCCTTTCTGTCTGTTGTCTTGGTGTTTGTTTGTTGTTCTTGAACCTGTGTGTTGTCTGTTGCCCAGTAGCAACACATGGGCTGATAGAGCCAGACCTAAAGCCAGGAGTCTGCTAATAGGTTCTTACTGAGTTTTAATGACTCTGAGGGACCAAAGTTATCCACTAAGGTAGAACCCATATAGTTGTTTAACATTACGCCTGTTGTGAGGGAGAGAGAGCGCAAGCGAGTGCGTCTGTCTTCAGTTACCTGCTCACCGTATAAAACACCAAGAAAACATCTCTATCACCTTCCAATATTAAGTTACACTTCCTATTACGCAATCCAGGTTATAGTTGCCTTCTCTGACCTGTGTCTTCACCAAAATGGATTAATAAAGTTAATCAGTAAGAGAGTGTTACATTTACCTCATCTGCTGATCTCACTGAAAGAGCAGGAAGTCATAATATATTTATAGTCAATAATTACATTGCCTAATTGTACAGAATTGTTGTATTTTTTTATTGGTGCAAGAGATAAGTAGTTGTTTGCCTAGGATCACAGCCATGTTGTTGTTTCTATTCAACCACGTTCGTGTCTCAGCAACTCTGCTTCCTTCTTAGCCTGGATACCGTCTTTACACAGCCACAGGTAGAAGTGAAGGTGTCTGCTGTCGTTATCGAGGCGGTGTATTGCTATAGGCCTATAAGCTTGCATTACTCAGTTTTAGCTTCACCCAGTTATTGATCCAACTTGGGTGGAGTATTGCCATGGAAATAAACCAGCATGCTCCTCCTTAATGGAAAGAACACATACAAGTATGACAGGTAAACAAGCGGCACCTTTTGCTATCAAGTGTACAATCTCTTTGTTGGCTAGGTAGCCAAAAGATACAAGCAATGCATTATGTGTGTGTGTGTGTGTGTGTGTGTGTGTGTGTGTGTGTGTGTGTGTGTGTGTGTGTGTGTGTGTCTGAGCACGTACACATATGTGTGTTACCTGGTTATCATGGTGTGTGTGTGTGTGTGTGTGTGTGTGTGTGTGTGTGTGTGTGTGTGTGTGTGTGTGTGTGTGTGTGTGTGTGTGTGTGTGTGTGTGTGTGTGTGTGTGTGTGTGAGCACGTACACATATGTGTGTTACCTGGTTATCATGGTGTGTGTGTGTGTGTGTGTGTGTGTGTGTGTGTGGGTTTCATATTGTTTATTTGTTTTTTAAACAAATAAATAATAATAATCAACATTTAAATTTGTACTATAACATTTTTTTTAGCAAATGTTGGAATGTGAACATACTCAATTAAGATGGTGAACAGTTGTCTGACCTGTGATGGGTTCATAGAGGTTCACATCCTGGACCAAATGAATGACAAACATGTTAAGGTGCCCTTATTTAATCAAACAAAATGCCCCTGTGAAGCTGCTCAGTGTCATGCACACTCATTCAACCTTGAAAGAGAAAAGAGCAACTTGTTCAATAATGGATGGTAATGATGGGACGTATCTCTAACTAAAGCACAGCCAGCTGAGGCCTTGTGTCTGTGTTTCCAGCAGCCACACGCTGCCTGTGACGTATGAGGATATGAAAATATAATGTTTGCATTGGCCAGCTCTGTTTTGCATTCTGGGAGGCCTCTGAGTTAGCACTGCTGTGCACATGCTTCATATGAAATCTGTCCTTCTAGACTGGAATATATTATTATTTCTGTGGAAGTTGAAATAGTTAAATTGTTCTATGTTGTAATCGTGTGCATCATATTATCTCAGTGTGTCCCCTGGCATTACACCTCCAGACAGTGTAAAATCACACACCGTCTCTCTCCAACTCAGTGTTAAAAGTGACTAACAAGGCCATTCAAAAATAAGCATCCTCATCCTGTCATATCCACACCAAGTCATTTTATCTACCTTCACACAAACTCAAACAAACTGGGCAACAAACCAACAACCACAATAAAAATCAATGTTGGAAACCAGTAACTCTGAAGGAGCAGAGAAGAGAGCAGTGTTTTAATCAGAATGCCCTTTATATGGGTGTTTTGCCCCTGACACAGGGTTATGCAGTTGCATATCATGTATTCTGCCAACAAGACCCTGTTTGAATTTTGCCCTTTGAGGTGAATAATAATTCCAGTCTGGACTGGAGGCTGAGTAATTGAAGTCAGAGCTTTGTATGAGGACAGAAGGAGTTTATAATGAACGTGCTCATTCAGCTGAAATAGCAGTGCTGGGGTGTGACCCCTCATATTATGTCCAGAATAGAGTTACTTATCTTTTCTGAATCACTAGACATATAGGTTGATGAATAGGTGAATAGGTGGGTCTGTATAGAGGTGTAGTGTATGTAGTATGTGGGTGTGTACTTCTTAGGAATATAATATGATTCATGAGATGAGAACAAGAACACGGTGGAAAAGAAAGGGCATAGAAGGAGAAAGAGGGGAGGTCCTGTTTTTGTATTTTTAACTTCAATATGAAATCTAACATGTAGCAGTGCTGTGTGTTAGAAACACTGAAAATCTTATATAATCTTGAGTTGAGTCATCTTATATGATGTGTAACAATTATTCATGCTGTCTCAAACCATAACTGACATCTATCTCCTGAATTTAGCTGTCTACAGACATTACAAATTGCAGACATTTTATCCTAAGTTACGAGAGCTCATAGCAACATATTCTCTTCCACCTACAGTCAAAAACTCACAGAAGTTTGTGTTTGGGAATATTCTCTTGAGACTTAAAGACTTTTTTTCTGTCTTTGTGTCTTTGCAGTACTTTGTGCTGACAGGGTGGGCCAGATGACGAAGACCTACAGTGACATTGATGCTGTCACTCGACTACTGGAAGAGGTAAGATCATCGTAAAAGATCAAAACATAAAGGACTACAGTATATGCAGACTGTGAGGCGCTTTGGTCATGTTATTATGTGGTCTGATAGTTTAAAGTCAGGTTACTTTATGAGGTTAATGACAGAGGAGGTTTGATAGAACCACATCATAAAACTAGTTTCTGCAGCCGATATTCAAATATAACTCCATATCAGAATGTCAGGCAGGATGTCACTGGTGAAGAGCTCAGCCGGCTCTCTGCATAAATAACTGTGAAAATAGAATAGCGTCATTGTTCAATGAATCATGGAATTCAACAGCCAGCCAGCCATCTAACTATTAACTAAAAGATGTCAAACCATCAACAAACAGCCTGGACAACTGTTTTCATTGCGGAAGACATCATTGTACTGCCCTCCATTACCTAGAAAAGTTAACTTCCTTTTGTTGACAATGCATTAATATTCAATATTCAGAGTTTTGTAACACTAAGCTAAACCTCCTGATCTAAATGATTGTGGACTTTTGTGTTGCCCAGTAGCATGGAGCATAATACGAATAATATTGTTACTGTTTGCAGCCAGATGTAAAACAGGAGTGGCTGACAGTCATTGGCACAGGCTCATAATAAGCTTTTAATTATAGTTCTTTGTTGAGAGTTTTCTGAGGCTTTCTGGTTCCACCTTTTCCTTCCTTGTTTGTTGCATGTCTTTCACATACATTATTCCTAGAGGACAAATTTGCACAGCTGTCATTTGAAAAGAGTTGTTTGACAGTTTGGGAAAAACGCTTATTCGCTTTCTTGCAGTGTGTCAGAAAAGATCAAACTACTCTCATATCCATCTGTTAAATATGAAGCCAGCAGCCAGTTAGCTTAGCATACAGACTGGGCGAAACGGCTATCTTGGCTCTGTCCGAAGGCAAAAGTGGTATCAACCTCATGACAAGAAAGCGAATAAACGTATAATTCCTTCAATGTCTGCAATGTTTTCAACTGTTTTGCTGTTAAAACACTAAAGAAAACTTTGTGTCTGTGCAGAAAGAGCGTGACTTGGAGTTAGCAGCTCGCATCGGACAGTCACTGCTGAAGAAAAACAAAGCCCTCAGTGAGAGGAACGAACTGCTGGAAGAGCAAGTAGAGCACATACGAGAGGAGGTACACAGTGGGAGCGTGTGTTTGTGTGTGTGCTTCTGTATTTGGTCATAATCAAATGTGACAGTGTTTGGGAAATGTCTTCATAAATCGGGCTGCACAATTAATTGAAATACTATCTAAATTGCAATATGGCCAAGTGCAGTATGTAAATTCCTGAAGCTACAGGTTTTTAATAAAGGTAAAATGTGTGACAGAACAGCATTATAATGAAGTGCAGAGATTCCCTGGCCTACAAATCCTGTTCTCTAGATTTAATAAAACATGTTTGTTTGGTGCAGACCCCCAAAAATGTCACATCACAATTTTTCATTGAAAATTTTAATTTGAATGAAATGTAATTTAAAAATGACTAATCGTGACTCATATGACAATATCTGTAAAAATAATTGCAATATGATGTTTTTACCATGTCGTGCAGCCCTATTTATAAACAAAGTGTATAGTCTTTGTCATTTTTCATAGGACCACATACTGATGGTCTTAGAATGTGCGTTGTTATGGTTTGTGTTCTTTTACTTTAACTGTCCTCTATCTACATATCTCTTTTACTTTTCCACAAATAGGTTTCTCAGTTGCGTCATGACTTGTCCATGAAAGATGAGCTGTTACAGTTCTATACCAGCGCTGCTGAGGAGAGTGAGGGGGAGTCTGTCACCTCCACACCGTAAGTCTCCTTTCATTTCCTCTTCTGTCCTTCTAGATAAAAATCATGCAGTGCATTTGAGCATTGAAAGTTAAGTCTAATGAAAACTACCAATTATTTTTGACAGCTGATAATACAAGAAATTGATTTTTCACTGCCCCACTAACAGATCTCCATTTGTGTGCGTGAAAAAATAATAAGTTTTAAATGTGAGAGTAGTAGACTACTACTACTACTACTACTACTACTAATAATAATAATAATAATAATAATAATAATAATAATAATAAGCTCAACACTACAGAGGTTGTTACCACTAGTGCATATAATGTGCATTTCACAGCATAGTAATGGATGAGTGATTGACCTGCTGATTCACGTTTCTCTCTCATGGGTGTGTTTACAGTGTGCGTCCCAGTGAAACCAATGTGTCAACTCCAACTTTTTTCCCCTTGGACTCCTTGCAGAAGAAACTCAAAGATCTGGAGGAAGAAAACAAATCATTGCGATCTGAGGTACATATTCACGCTTGCACTTAAGTGAACAAACACATTGTTAATACATTTCAGCATTTTCTTGTTTTTTAAGTAAATCGATATTATTATTCCTTACATTACTTATCAAAGTACGTTAACATTTTTACATTGCATGTAAATATTGTTTCCAAAAATCATAATAACCCATGTAATAGTTAGCGATGTCAAAGTTCAAACCAAACATAATGATCATCAAAATCTATTTATATGGGACAATGCACATTAATCAACACTGACGTTAACTCTAACCTAAGCTAAGCTAAGCTTATTAGCACCTGTAGTCCCAACACAACTAAAAACTCCTAGTGTGTTCAATTTCGTTTGTTGGCAGAAATACTGTTTGTGTTCATTAGAATGTCTTGTAAAACAAGTGTAATTATGACCGTCTGTTTATCTTTGAAGAGAAGTCATTTATTGGGTTAAATAATAATGTCTACAGTGTGTAGTATTGATTAGTAATGTCTGTTTTTTCAGGCCAGTCATTTGGAGACAGAAACGATCTCGTATGAGGAAAAAGAGCAGCAACTTGTCAATGACTGTGTCAAAGAACTACGTGAGTATTTGACTGACGGGAGTTTTATTATGCTCAGTGTTACATCTTTCGACTGCTGTCTCGCTCTCTAAAGGCAGCGAGGAAAGGTTTTTCTTGGCAGATTCTCACTTGAACACCTGTTGATGCTTCCAGGTAATTCCAACCTGCAGATTTCCTCTCTGGCTGAAGAGCTGGCCAGGAAGAGTGACGACGTCTCCAGACAGCAGGAGGAGATCACGCACCTCCTCTCCCAGATAGTAGACCTCCAGAAGAAGGCCAAGCTGGTATGAAACTCCCCCCAGTCATCGCTCATACTAATAATGTAAAATATCTGCTGTATATTTGCCTTATTAATGCCTCTGTGTGTGGATACATTGGATACAGTGTTGTCCTGTTTTGTCTGGCATGTTTGTAGTATGCCGTGGAGAATGAGGAGCTGACTCAGCACTTGGGGGCAGCCAAGGACGCCCAGCGACAACTCACTGCTGAGGTTAGGCAATCCACAACCCTCTGACCGTGGCTATATCATCCTCATTTTCTGCAGTGGCAGCTTCCACCAATAAATATGTCGCTAGAAGAGCCTGCCTAGGACCAAATTCTGTTCCTTAGATTCGTATACTCCTTCAGAAGCATACACTTATGCAGGGTATTTTTTATGATAACATTATTATCAGTAATGGTTCAATATGAGACATTCCACATCTGAATCACCACAAATAATATAAAACCTATTACAAAGTGCTTTAAATCAACGAACACAGAACTACACATACATGTTGTAGCACAGTTTGTCTGCATGACAGTTTTTTTCTCAATGTTTCCTGTCTCATCTCTCATGATCTTTCCTTTCCTTTCCTCCAGTTGCGGGAGTTGCAGGATAAGTACGCAGAGTGCATGGAGATGCTTCATGAGGCTCAGGAGGAGCTGAAGAACCTAAGAAATAAAACTCTACCACTCAGCACACCGAGGCGTTTCCACTCTCTGGGTCTCTTCCCAATGGTGAGCTTGAACAACACGTCTGTCAGTATCAGAGCATCTCCATGGCCCCCAGCAGCTACAAAATCATTTTACATTTTTTTTTGCCTTCTTCTCCAGGACTCTCTGGCCGCAGAAATAGAGGGCACCATGAGGAAGGAACTACAGATGGATGACCCAGATGTAGAAGAGCAGAGGTATCAAAAGGCTCAACTTAAAGAAAACAAAGATAAAGGGTTGCTGATGATTTGGTCTGACTGTGTAGCGAAATGTTCTGGGTTGATACGTTAAAAAAAACCCAATTCGATATTTATGTGATCATGTTTCTCCAGATTGCAACCAAAGCGAGTTTTCCAGACAGTGAAAAACCTCAACCTGATGCGTCAGCAGCGTTCATCACTAGCCCCCTCCCCTCTCAACATCCCAGGCTCCAATCAGACATCATGCCTCACCTCAGGGCGCTCCAGCAGGGTGGGCACGCCTCGCTCCAACTCCATATATAGTAGTGAGATCGGAAGTGGGATTTTCCTGGACAACAGGAATAGCAGTATCTTGGAGAGTCCAGATGATGGGTATGGACAGGTTGACTCTGCAACTCACATTTTAGATTTTCTTCTTTTTGAATCTCATTTCTTTGCTTTTTATTTCTTCTTTCGTCCTCATTTTCTCCAACAACTAATGGGATGCCACTCTTACTTTTGTGTTTATTGGTAACCCTGGTGTTTGTTTGTGTATTCCTGTTGTTTATGTTGTGCTTAGTAACTACCTCTAGCCTTAGTTTTAGGTTTCAGTCATTAGCTGCTGCCTTTTTATTAGTATCCAACACAATAGGGACCAACTGAGCTTTACAAAATAACAAAACTGAGAAGGAGAGACATTGTGCTTTTAAGACTCTCTACTGAAACCCAAACAATGTCAACTATGTGCCTCTCCCCAGGTCAGAGGACTCTAACAAGCGGCCCCCTGGCACCCCAGGGACCCCGGGTAGCAGGGACCTGGAGGCAGCCCTTCGGCGTCTGTCCCTCCGTCGCGACAACTACCTCTCAGAAAAACGCTTCTTCGAGGAGGAGAGGGAGAGAAAGCTGGCTTACCTGGCCAAAGAGGAAGAAAAGGGAGGTGGGGGGAGTAGTGGAGGACCGGGAACACCGACGGAGAGCCTGCTGTCGCTGTGCTCGCATCCCTCTCTCGGAAGCGTCTGGTCGGGATACTCATTCACAGCGAGATCCTACCTGCCGGAAAAGCTGCAAATTGTAAAGCCGCTAGAAGGTGATTATTCCTCTCAGAGACACAAGTCCTCTAATATTCAGAATGATGTGCACAATGAAAATGAAAGTTTTCAGCAACCGAATCAAAATCAGAAAAATTCTAAATTTATATTTTTACATACTCCCCAAAGTTACATTCAGGAAAGTCAGACGCAAAAACAAGCCCTTCACAACCAACAGCAGAATCAATGTCTGATATTTCAAAAGCACAGCCCCTCCACCATCCGTCTGAGTGCCTCACAGGGCCCTAAGACCCTGCAGAGGAGCTCCAGTTTGTTGGAGCTGAGCAGCCTGCGGCGCTCACAGCTTCACCTCAGAGCTCCACTGGCTTTAGTCACAGGCATGCTGGAGGTGTTGGAGCAACAGGAAGGCAGTTTAAATCTACAGCACTCCTTTTACTTCAGAAATACACGGGCTCGCTGCTGGTTTGAAGTATAGAATACCAGACAGCCTGCTGTGTGCTGCTGGTGTGAAGCCATTAACACCCATTATTGTTTTACATATAGATTTGTGCTATATATCTTTGAAGTTTACAGATTAAAGTGTGAGATTCAACCGTTATGAAAATGTATACCGTACCATAAAGGGATATTGCATAGATGGCCTTTATGTCAGCTTTAATTTAGTTCCCAGTGTTACATTTATCCCAAATACATCACAAATGGTGAGCACTCACACAGTTTTTTTTGCAGTGAGAGTCAATATGTGGTATTTTAAATGGCACACATATTTTTCAACACAAAGGTTTCTTATGCCTTGTTTTTTTAATAGATGGTTTAATATTATCCTATAATTATTTATTTCCATACTGTATTGGTTGTGGAGTTTATATGTAGTTGAATTGTTAATATATTTGCTGTCAGATATTTATCGACACAATGATGCAGTTAAGATACAATTCTCTTTTAAAGCATTTTCCCAATCTCAAGTGGTTTTTAAAACTGTTGTCACAGAGGTATTTCCTGTTTTGTGGCACCATCTAGTGTTCAAACTCAGTTACAGCATTTGCATGGTAACACTGAAACGTGATACATAAACACCAGATAATGTGCTTAAATTAAAAGGCTAAATTAAACATGGCCTTTTTCTTTTGAGGTGAATGACAATAAATGTGGCACTGTTTAATTTCAAGTCTAATGATGGTTGTCTGAGATGTGAGAATTAATTTGATTTGTTATTTCTTGGTAACCTCAGAGTATTTATTTCCTGCATTCATAATTATTTCATGTATAATAAATCTGGCTGATGTCAGATGACTATCTAATTTAAAATTAACTAAAACATTAACTAATATTTGAGTTTTGGCATATTCTTACTGTATGAGACTTAAGTGTAGAGACAGTTTCTTCTGCAACATTAGTGCCATACTACTGTATGTACTGTCCATCCCTTTCACTTTTTTTCCCACCTTTTTCTTTTCTTCATTTGTTTTGTCTTGTCTTTGCACTTTACTTATTTTTCTCTTCAACTTGTCTGTTTTCTCTGTTGATGATTTCTTGAATAAAATCTTACTAATTTTCTCACCTTCCTTTTTCTCTCATTCTTTTTGTGTTTGTCTGATGGGTCTGTGTACTGACATCTCTCAAAGGCCCTTCATGTGTCATGAGAAAACAACCATTCATTGGACTTGAAATGTGACCAGTTTACTAAGTGCAAGGAAACTCAATAAACAGAGAAACATTGCGTACAGCAGAATCTTATTCACTGTTACTGCAGTATGTGTGACAGTCTTTACGTGCTGCCTGAAGAAATATTAACAGTAACAGTCAAAGAATATGCTTTATCCTGTCCATCTTGTCTGTGTGACATTGATTGTGTGGCTGTTAATATGAATGTGTTATACTGTGTCCCCTCGGGTGTGTGTGTGTGTGTTTGTGTCTCTACTGTCTGCCTGTGTATGTATCTGTTTATATACAGTATAATGTCTGCCAGTGAACAGCTGATTTTGATCTATTTTTAAACATTTAAACATAGAAATGACATTTACTGAACAGACATAATGTCACTGTCCACATACAGTGTAGTGCTCTGTTTTTGCATGCAGCATATGCTACTGTAATAAAATGTAAAGCTTATAGCAGTAAGCAGAGACTAAAGCTGATGTGATTTGGGTTGGATTGCAGTATTAAGTTTAGGGAAGCAGGCCTGCGACTGAGTCTAGCTGTGTGCATTTGCTTGCCCTTCTGTGATTATCACCAACACTGCCAAAGTGCCCTTGAGGTCACAATGACAAGACATTTTAAAAGCATCTAGTTTGCTATTTTTTTTTTATTTATTGACAAACATAGATGACAAAAAAAGGTCAATTTTACCATAGTTCTGAGGCCAGTATATCAGTTTAATGAGATGCATTTGTGGAAGAGAGCAGCTTAAGACAGATTGAGTTAACCTGAGTGTTTCTCTGACTGTTTCCCCAGGCTCTGCTACTCTCCATGCGTGGCAGCAGTTGGCTCAACCCCACATGGGAGCTCTGCTGGATCATCGGCCCGGTGTTGTCACGAAGGGCTTCCGCAGTTTAGCGCACGAGCAGGAGCAGGAAGACTGGCAACTGGACCAACCAGAGGAGGACGAACTTTCATGTGACTCATTTACTGGCTTGTCAGGAGAGAGCCCTGCTCCCATGGACCTGCCTCGCTCTACCTCTTCTCCTGTCTGCTGCAACAAAAACGGAGACGTCGATGACGACAGCCAATCAGAAACATTGCAAGGAGAAATTTGCCGGGCTAGAGAAGTGATGCAAGTAAAAGATAGACATGTTGCAAACATGCCCCTTTCCTTCCCCAGACCCTCCCCGTCTTCTTCTCCTCTCCCCTCTTCTTCCGAGATGAACGGGCATGTGGACCTCAAGGAGCTCCAGGCCTTACAGCCCACCACAGTGGACCGTTTGCCTGGTGAGGGAGCACTTAGCTGAGGTCACTGCACTGCATCCACCATCCCATGTAACCCTGGATCATGGGGGTAAAGGGGAGGGGGGGTGAAGAGGAGGGGGTGGGAGGGTGAGGGATTGGGGAAGGCATTCACTGGACATCTCACAACCCCAATGTGACCTCCCTTCCTACACGATCACGCTCATGTGCACACACCTGCACACCCACCCGTCCCACCGGCAGTCCTTGTGCAGCCATCGAACCCCATCAACTCAGAGTACATGTTTTTTTGTTCATTCATCCACGTCTTCCTTCTCAGTTCACGCCTTCTTTCACTGCCACACTTTGCTTCATTTCAACCAATCACACTTATTTTTCGATCTTCAGCGATGCCTATCCTCTTCAACAAATCTTCTGAAGTCTATAACTTAATGGTGTCTTTAATTATTCTAATATAGATATATGTATATGTGTATATGTATAATTATATTAATCTCTCAATCTTTCACTGGTGACCTTCAGCATAGAATAAGTTTCATGTTTTGTTGTGATTCATTGAAAATTAATTGTGGCAATAATTTTTTGTGCAGTCAACACTAGCACACCACACAGACACAAGCATGCAGAAATATCATGGCTAGCGTCTGGTATGTGGGCACGTACGTGTATATCGGGTATTATTAGTGCAGCTGTCAAAGTCACATATTCACATGACGTGGTTTAATATTGGAGTTGACCAGTAGCTTTGGTGTAGGGTCACCTTAGTACACATATGATGATATATGATTTGATTTATTTATGGATTGCATAAAAATATGGACATAAAAAAGGTGAAAACATATGTCCTACATGGTTCCAAGATGTTAAGAGACAAAACAAACAAAACACAACATAAAATTAAACAATACAAACCTGAAATCCAAAATTACATCGCCACATCATTACCAACATGAGTTTGAACATGTACATAAAAGTGACAATCCTGCATTTACCACTACAGCACACATTCTCGGCCAAACTCACAAACTTTGTGAACCTATCCTTTGATCAAAACATATGTGTACCTTAATAATAATGAAGGTGAAATCTCCCTCATACTTTGTGGATATTCAGTGAATCCCTTTCATGACTGAAGTGACTTTGTTGAAATGAACCCTGGGACACCATTTCTGTTTCATGGAATCTGCACACCCCATCATCACTTCAATATTACATTAATTTGGGAGCCAATATGCAGTGCTTTTGCTTGGGGCTTATACTATGATCATGGCCTTTTTTCTCTCCACTTTGTTGTTTTTTTTTACAGTGTTGCTTGGTGCCCTTTGTCTCAGTACTTACAGCCTTCTCTTTTGTTATCCTTCTCTTTTCCTATAGTTAATTTCCCAGGGAAGTGTATGTCCCATACTAGCTCTACGTACACCTACACCACCTGCAGGATCCTCCATCCCTCTGATCAGCTGACCTCTGTGTCCCCAAGGTAAACATATTCAACACCTGACTACTTTTATCACTTTATTCTGTTTTTAAATGCCTGTAGCAACATTATTTAGTCTTTGATGTGTACAATTGAGTGTAGTGTACTATTGTGAACACAAGATGGAGTCATTTTCCTATCTAGATTCCATTATTGCATTAAATCAAATGGCACATAAAGGAGAGAGAGATGCTCTGCATCTACTGTAAACAGGAACCCTTACACAGAAAATGAATGGAGACCTAGTGTAATAACATTGAATCTCTATTGTGTGCTGTAAATCAAATAGCTGCTTCTCTGCCAAGGAGCAAATTCCCCTCTTGTCCCCCTCCAATAGATTTTGAGGCAGGGCTACTTTGATGCCACACTCACCTGACTTCATACTCTCTAAGTCCCTGCTGTCTGATTGGCCTTGGCAGGTCAAGTGATGAGGAGGATGAAGTGGAGTTGTATCATATGGTTGTCATGGCCGGAGTAGAGCAGACCCATTGAGTGCACCCGCTGGGGTGCACATGGGTGAGGCAATGCATGGGAGTGCATTCCTAAAGACTGTGGGTGTGTTTAAACTAAAATAACATCAGCAATTTCCCTCTAATGTTCTCTGCTGACATGTTTCAAACTAACAATCCAGCTTCTGACACAATGCTGTAACTCAATTTACAGATCAGATCTAACTTTGTCAGGATTTGAGCATGGTTGTTCATTCTTTGAGAAAAGTATGTGGTGGAAATAATTTAAGAACAAAGGTCCACTTCCTAGCATTCAGAGCTTTTAAACACATGCAGTATCTTCATTCAGAGACAGGCACTGGCTCAAGTGTATGTGAAAAACCCTGTCTCAATGGGATTTTAGGGATTTAGCACTTAGAACAAACCACTGAACAGTTTAGGCTTAACTTTCTGCTGGTACACCCAAAAGACTGGATTTGTAAACTTTGAGGTCTGCTTTGATATATCCTCCTTGTGTAAGACCACTTAGCCCATGTGAACCAAGGACCAGATAAAGGTGATGCGATGACGCCCGATGGTTCGTCCACACTGCCTACTTGAGCAGTGTGTGACAGTTGCCTCACTGAACTGCTGCAGCTTGCATGCCTGTGGTGTCCACACAGAGAGCCCTGTGTTTCTTTACTGAGTTTGCCTTTGATAAATATAGTACAATAAAAGCATTGTTAACATGTGAATGGATTCTGACCACAAACACTTTCAATCTCAATCAGATACAGGAGGTACATTTATATTTTCTTTCATGTCTGTGATATATTCTACAGATATAGACATTGAAACTGTATATCTATGTGTTGATATATGTCTATATGTTGATGACATAATGTCAGTATTACTACGAATGTTTATTTTTTTCTGTGAACTGCACACAGCTCACAGAAAAAAATAGGCAAAACTTCGACTCTAGTGAAGTGTGAGTCAGCTTCATTTACTGAATGAAGACCAACAAGTGGACTTTAGTGCTTAGTTTATTTTCACTGTGTAGCTACTATCTAGGCTCTAATAATTAAGTTATTGTGTGACAAATAATGTGTGTAAAATTGAGTTCTTTGTCACTGCTGATAACAAATAACTCAGTGATTTTATTCTCATCTGAACTCCATATCTCAGTCGCCCAAACAGAAAAAAGGTTTGATTACTGCAGTTATGTTTTAGGTTGTGTCGGTATAATGTTTAATTGTACTAAAAAAACAAGTATTAGGACTTGATTACTCATGACCATTTATTTCTGTCCTTGCACACCCAATGCCCCGTTCCTACTCTCTTTTCCTCTATCCTCCTTCACCCATTCCCCACCCCTTACTTCTCCATCTCTAGTTCAGCTCTAGTCTCTTATCAGAGCAGCACTTGCATCAGCAGCCCTACCCCCATTTCCTCTCCTATACCCTTCTCTGCCCCACCCACACCTTCCTACACCCCCTCCTGCACCCCACGCCGCCTCTCCCTCTCGCTCTCACTAGCAGAGTCCTCCACCAACCTTAGGGACTCCACCAAGACCACCAGTACCTCTCTAGGCCTGGTGCGCCTCCTGCTGGAGCATGGGATTTCTGCCTCAGTGTATGACCCTCGTAGCTGGGACCGAGTGTTTGATGCCAGTGGAGCTTCGACACCCGTGGTAGGAATGCAAGCGAAGAAGAGTGGCGACATACCGGGGGAAACCAAACCTAGACGATTGGGGAAACGCCCAGACACCCTCCTCCTCCAGCCCTCCACCCCGCCCAACTCCCCTCGTTCCAAATCTGCCTCCTCTACAGCCACCTGCCCAGTTTTTCAGTTCAGCCCCACCAATGATGACCCGCCATTTTATGACACTTTCCTCGCCTCTAAACCGGCTCGTACCATTCTGAGGGAAGTACTGGGGGAGGTGGAGAGGGAGCGAGGGGGGCAAATAGATGATGATGGCCAAACAGAGATGCTGAATCTGCGACTTGTGGACAAACTGAAAAGTTTCCGCACCCTCCCCCCTCATGCTGCTTCTGTTTCATCTGGGAGTACTCTGTTAGCCCCTTTTGGATCTACTGGATTGGGGAACAGTGCGCTCGGTGGGGGGCTCCCAGGTTTGAATGCAGGGCTGAGGAGGAATCGAAGCTATCCTGCTATGGTAGGAGCCAGTATGGCCATGAAAGACCCGGGAGGCCCCCCTAACACAGAGATACTCATACCGCATACGATGCAAACCCCACATACCCAACACGCAGCACATACACAAGAAAAAGGCAAAATGCAAACAAACCACACCCTGGTCACGAGGGCCATACACATACCACAGACACTACATGCACTGGAAACAGTCACACCACAGACAATAATACAGAGACACACCAGGCCAAACGACGGACTGCAGGATTCAACAAGCAATGACCATCACAGTGATGAAACTGGGACATAGTGGGAAATGTTCAGTGTATTAGCCCATATTACAACACACATGATTACACGCATACAAATTTATTGACAACCAAATACCCTTCCTAACTATATAGACATCCCTCAGCTGTGGAATATCCCCAGAAGCAAACAGCTGCAATAGTCCACCCCCCTCCACCTACAGACTCAACTATACAGTAAGTCATCTTTCCTAACCAGGCAGACTCCAGCTGATTTATTTAAACAATCATCAGTCTGATCAACGCTAACTGAATGAAATGGTGGTGAATAAACCATTAGTGGCTGACGCTGTTACACTGTGTTATACTCATACACTGTCAGACTAGACTGATGATGATGGAGTATGTTGCCTTCCTCAGTGTCCATTGTAACTGTATATTGTATAAGATGTGTATGCAATATACTGTGTCATATATAGTATAAGATTAAAAAGCCCAATCTGGTGAAAGTACTGCAGAGCTTTCCCCTCTTTCAGTCTCATTTTCCTTCTGGACCTGAATGTGCACTATTGAATCAAGGCAACACATGAATTTTAAATGTCCTGTATTGGCCCGAATATAAGATTGTTTTTTTTCTTTAGATTAAGAAAATCAGGTTGTATTTTCCAGGAATGCACAATTATGCATTCAGTAGAACAGATGTTACTTTAAGAAGGTACTGTGTTATGGGTTGTGTAGTGTTGATAAAAAAACATTTTCCTCTTTAAAGACCACCAGAAATGACACATCTGTTGACAGGTTCGGTATGAGCTGCCGGTGCCAAGGACAGAGAGACTAATAATGTCCAATCCAACCAGGAAGAGAAAAATAATTATCTTCCATTGTAAAACTACATTCAGTAAAGCTGGCTGCTAGCCTATAACCAGTCTTTATTTAGCTAAAAGATGTTTTTAATTTTAATATTTAATATTTATTTAAATGTGGAAACACATTCAAATTTGGTTAATTTTCCTTCATTGTTTCATTTAAAGTGCAAAACACTCATTTTATATGCGGGCCACTATGGTATTTTTAAGCCTTTAATTGTTTGTGTCTCCATTATATTGCACTGGAGTGAAATGGAAGTTATGATGTTGGCATTAGAGATTATTTCCTACCAGCAACTCTTTCTCCTCTCTGTATGTATGTAATCTGTATTTTCAAAAATAATCTGGATTGTGGCTTTAATGTGTCATCTTGCTGTGACTTACTGTTCTTATGTGCCTAAAAACAGCTAACATACTGTATCTTATGGGAGAATCATTTGTCATATTTTATTATTTTAATGCAGAAGAGAGAGAAAATGAGAATAATGGTGCAAATTGATATATTTGCATCTGAACCTGCTGAGGGCCCCCACACATGATCATTTGTGTCTGTGTCTATTTTTGGCTCTTTGTTTTCATGTCCTAATGAGATTGTGTGAAGCATCCCCTTTATGTATAATCACACAGAGACATGTAGCACATAAACCGTAATACAGACCAGCCCAGCTATATAGACCCATGTTTAAAATACTGTGACTACAGAACCCAAAAGGCAGAAACATTCTTTCCATACTTGTCAGTATAAAACATGTTTGAGGAGGATGATGAGTGTGAGTGAGTATGGCTTAGGCAGCTGTAACATCAGAAAGTAAAGTCTGCCACCGTCACTGCTGCACCCAGAGCTTTCACTTAAGACCAAAGTTACACCCAAATGAAGAGTGGGTGGGCCCATAACAACGCAGAAATTGAAGTATGTCTGGTTACAAAACAGACCATAATTACATATTTACCTTTTTATCCATGATGCCGACATAAACCTGAATCACATACTGACGCCATGTCATTTATTTAGTCAAAATCAAACAAGCGTGTGGCTGAAAAAAATAGCAATATTAGGAATGATAAAACTTGTATGTCTCTGAATGTAACTGTTAAAGTGGTGACTTGAAATATCCGAATGTTGGTTTTAAGAGCAAGAGACTGAGCTTTTATCACAGTTTGATGCTGAAGGGAAGTTTTTAGTACCACTGACCCAGTTCCAGTGTCCACCCTTACATATATATATATATATATATATATATATATATATATATACATAAATATATACACATACATATACATGCCTTTATTGGCTGCAGAAACACCTCTGCCAAGGTGAAGCGATTTCACTTGTACAGCATTTCAATTAAAGTTTAAAGTTTAAAGGTGGACATTGGGACTGGGGCACTGACTGCTGGTCTGACCGTGAATAAATGGACAAAATGGCTGGCTCTGATGCTGGCAGTGATCTGCTGAAATCCTTAATGATTAAGGGGTTAAACTAACAATGTTATTGAGTGGGAGATTAATAATCATGATATATATTTATTGAATACTTGGATTATTAAAAGCACGCATATAACTGAATGTTCAATGTACATGTTTAAGTGAGGAACTTTTGCAGATTGTATTTATATTTTAAACTGTCACACTGACATTTTAATTAATTTTTAAGTTTGTTATTATGGTTAAATGATAAAACATTTCTTTGGCTTCATAGAAACATTTTTATTTTAATGTGTACAGTTAGCTGTCTACAAGCTTACAGTACAGTGCTGCCCAATACTTTATAACAGTTTCCCATCTAGTAGGGGGAAAAAAAAACAATCAGACAACAATTTACAGTATTTACGACTGAAGCTGCAAGGAGTTGGTGTGTGTTTGTGTGTGTGCTTGTTTTTCTGTGTCAACTGAATCATCTGAATGTAAGTTATTACAAACAGTAATTCTGCTGTAGGGCCATATATTTGTGTACAGTATGTTGATTTACCTTGACCAGTTTGTGTTAACCTCAGAAGGGGAACTATTATTACATTGTAAATGTATGCAACACATATAGTTATGCTAATTTTTTTTTTTTTTTAAACTGTAACAGTAGAACAAAAATACAGGGAATTAAGTTTATTTTTAGCAAAGAAGGAAAGAAACTTTTCTGTTCAGGTACTGAAGTGTTCTATTCTACAGAACGGACTGTACTGTCAATAAAAATAAATACATAAACACTCACTTGTTTGCCTTATTCAGCATATAATAGTGCAGTCATCTGCTGTGCACAGTCCAACTCAACTTTTGACAGGATAGGAAAGTTTAGGTGATTTTATACTTCTGGTTCAAGGATGTTGATCATATGCCATTTTCTTTTGAGGTCTGGGAACAAGCTGTCAACCCTGATGGGCCATTAAGTACCCGTGGATCACTCCTAGTAATAAGGCTGGGTGATGTTGACATCATTATCACATTAATAAGAATTATATTGATATATGCCACAAGATGGCAAATTCATGAAAAATCAAGATACAACACCCCTACTAGGCAATAAATAATATTGAATTACTGGCTCCTTGCGTCTGCCACCAGACCTTCTGCATCTTGTCCAGGCCTCTCTTATGCTCAACCTCTCCGAGCTTTCCCCACACCCCTCTTTTCTATTCACAACATTGGCGCCCTGTCTGAGATTGCATTCAAGTATGCGGTGCAGGAGAGGGAGCTGCTCCTTCCCGCCTCCAAGCCTTTCAATCACTCCAACACTCATTTGTCTCTGCTACCTCATTTCATTTTTCTTTGGGTACAAATAAGCAGGAAAATCAGTTAGAGAGGAGAAGACATGAAAAATGTTGTAGCTTAAAGGTACACTGGCCACTCTTGTGCCACAAACAGTGACACTTACAGCTTTGTAGACTTGACTGCAAATAACACCAAGATCCAATAAGTAACTTTTGCAGCTCTAGCCGTTCCAGTTGCAGCTTTATTCCACAGGGAGGCAGTGTGTCTCAGAGAACAGAACTGACAGCTGGCGTAAACACTAACCACAGCCAAACCCTAAGCCTGGAAAGGAAAAGAAAGCAAACCATCACTGAAGGATTATGAAATGCATCCAATGTTGGTCTAGCAAACCCATATGTGCTCCCTCTGGCCTCAGAATGAGGCTCAGCAGATGTTTCTCCATGGCTTCTCCTCCATCCTGTCGTTGCTGCAGGGTGTCTCAGTGAAGACAATCAGACACCACACTGAGTGCACACTCTCTTTCTGTTCAGTTATAAACTAATGTCACTGATGCGAAGGAAATAAGTGACTTAGCAGTTTGATATCGGAAACATACTTATAATTAGTTTTTGTTGGTGTATCTTACTGTTTTTGGCAAATAAGATGGAGATTTGTCATGTGAGGGACTCTGGGAGAGTTGTTAACGATGTTGCAAAGAGCAGTGATTACATCCTCTTTCTTAATAAAGTGATTCCCGAACCAGAAGTTGCAAAAGTAGAGAGACCGAGTGAGAGATGATGGAGAGGCCACTCAGACGACGGAAAGCAAGACTGCTCTCTAACTGAACAATGTGAATGAAAATGAAGAGAGGGGACATATGGACATATGGATGCAGGCAGCAGTGGATGGTTATGAAATGGTTTTTGATGCTTAGTGGAGGACTAGCAGGTGTGTGCAGTCCCACAGGGGAAATGAGAACATTCTGCAGAGTTGAGTCAGTCAGGACAGAAAAGTAAAGACAAGCAATAAGAAAGAGATGATAGGGGAAAACTTTTTTTTGCTCGGTCAGCATGTCTCGGTCAGCTTGACTGGTGATGCTTTTTTCTGTGCATGTTGGTCAGTCTATTATGTGTTGTAATCTGTGGAGGAAGGCGATTAGATGGAGCAACAAGAACGCAGCAGATCACGCAGAGTCCATGCAGTTCTGAAGATCACTGTTACTGCACAATGAGTGGACATCATAGAGATAACAAACAGAGTATGCTCCATGGGCTGCCTTTACAACTGGTTCATAGAAACGTCTTACGGACGTGGGACGTGGGTCCTGAGGTAAAGCAAGTTTCTATCTCCACTAGACTCTTCTACTTAACTGCTGTGCATGCTTCAAAGTCTGGATTACTCAAGAGGCTCTTGGGCACAGAGTGATAAGCAGCTGCTAAGAAAGAAGGTCCACTTCAGTGACAGGATGTGGACTGATGGCTTCAAGAGGTGTGAAGCATGATGGGCTGCAGAGCCAACATCTTTCAGCAATGATCCTTCACACATTGGCCAAAAGGAAGGTTTTTCAGCTTGTATAATCGGCCCAAATGCTGCCATGAAATCTCAAACATAGCCTCTGGAGACTGAATATGTATACTGCATGTTATACCTATGTCTGTGAACACAGCAATGTTGTGTTTGTATTGTGTTATTTCTTTGGAAAGGACACTGGTCATTTAGCTTCCTCTGCCAAATGAAGATCTGGAGAAAATAAATCCAACGGGAGAGATGAGGCCATGATGTAGAAGGAATTCACTGAATCCAGTATGACTTTACACATAATTACTTTGGTGATTCTGACTTTTCATCTAGCGCCACCTACAGGTCAAAGTTTTCAATTATGTTGTGAAATTTCACCATCTACTAAACTGTACAACCATGAGGTTGACATTTGTGGTTTTAAATGATTGTCTGTGACAGCAGATGGATTGCCATTACACTTGTTTCAGACACTGATGTTCTCCACAGGACGAATTATAATAACTTGATGAATAACGTGATTCCTTAGCTTTTCATCAGGTCAAATTTTGTCCAATCCTCTTTTGAAAAACTAATGACATGCCTCATTCTAACCTGTACTTAGTGTTTAGTGCTAACTAACTAACTAAGAAACCTTACCTTAACACCCTGAACTAAGATGTTGAACATAACACCTTCTAAACATGAGCATGTTAGCATTTAGCTCAAAGCAGCACTGTGATCAAACATCCTCACTGAACTGTTAGTGTGGCTGAGGACTCTTGTTACACTGTTGGTTAGCATTTACGTTCACCAAAGAAACTAAAAGATAGAGCGAGGTAACAGTTCCCTATTTGTTTTAGTGCGACACTGTACGCCTCTTCAGTCACTGATTTGTCAAATTCACACGTTTCTGGAGAATTTATTCCATATTACCGTCCTGTTACTGACGTCAGTCCTCTGACGGTGGCTCAACTGTGAAGTAAGTTCTGCCTTTGGAGATTCACTTGATCGATTCTCTTGGTCACTCTCGTTCTCTTTGTCACACACATGCAGACACAGACCAGCTGTAGGGTTTAAAGTGCAGCCATTAGAGGTAGTCCAGTGTAAACATTTGAAACATATGTTCTCTGGACAAGCGGAAATAGTAAATCTGTGAGAGTGAATGTTGGAGACCCACAGTGTTTTTTTTTTTAGTGACACTAATGATTCAGTGCAAGTGCAGAGTTTATAGAAAGTCAGTATAAAATAGATCAATTTGTCACTAGGCGTTTATGCATGTATCAAAATGTATTTATTTAAGAAAACGTGTGAGCTAACCTACAGTCAAACAATGAACTTTCTGTTATTAGATATTTAGGTTTAATAAAAAACTGTAACGTTTTATTTCCATAAAACTTTTCTCTATAGGAAACTGCAGAATGTCGTTTTCAGACTGTTGAATTTCAGTGTTTATATTTATTAATCTTTATCACACATTTTTAATGCTCATGTTCGTGTGTTTTCTTTAGTTTTTTTTAGATAAGCTCAACAGTATGTCACTGAAATTCTATTATACACTTCAGTTAATAACAGTCTGAAAATGGCACACAAATGAATACTCACATTGAATGCTTGAGTATTATGTCCTCAACTTTTTTCACCTCCCTGCTAATTCTAAAGAAAACACAGAAACATGGTAATCTCTACACAGCCTGACTAAATGTTTATCACTGACTTTGGGTATTTTCAGTCGGACTCACTAAATGCAGCATCTGACTCTGTGATGATGATTTAAAAGTCGGAGACAGTTCGAGAGTTTTACAGTTCTGCATTTTAAATAGGTTCATTTGACAAACATTTACGGTACTTTTACTGTGCTGGACTCATTGGCTGGACTACAGGGTCAATAATAATAACGCTTATATAAATAATAAACAGTTGCCCTTACACTTCTATTCACCATGCACATAATAGTAATGAGGTATGGACATGAATATTTTATAATTCTCATTCTGTGCGTTTTCTGCAGCAACCCTCCAGTTCGAAAAAGTCTCATTTTGAGTAGTTTAGTTCCCCTTTGGCAGCTATTTATTATGAAAATCCTAGACGGCATTAGCATTTCCAATAATTTTGTTTGTCTACAAGAGCATGAAACATCTTTAATCCACAGCGGACCAGGGATTATGCAAAACTGTGGTATTGATTTCAGAAGAAACTACAGTGGTTACCGAAGATCAGTAAGATCATCTGTTAACTGTAGCTGCATAATAACAACCTGAGAGAAATAACACAACACAAGAGCAGAAAAGCTAGTAGACCGAGGAGGATGGTCACCCACACACACACACACACACACACACACACACACACACTTACTTGCCTTGACTTGAATCACACTATTTAGTAATCAGTATGCAATAGATATATACTATATTACAGAAAGGTAATCTGTATCCACAAAAGGTGGTTGCAGTTGTATTGTGAGAGTTTTGAAGCAAGATTTCAACTTCAACAAAAAAAGAAGTTTGATTGAATATCAATAAAACTACTTGACAAAAAATGATCATAAAATGTCTAACGTCTTCTCAAATATGGATGATCAGTTCAAAGCTAACAGTGCATCTTTAAACATTTTCTATATTATCTACTCTCCATAAATCAACACTTGATTCCCAAGCTTGTTTATGTTTACTGAAATGATCAAAAATCTCTAACACACACACACACATGCAAGAACACACTCCTAAGTGTGGGTTAACACACAAAAACAGTATTTTTGGATGCAAAATAAACATTTACTGCAGTCTCTTTCAACTTAAAATTGCCTGAACTGTGTTTGAAAGGGCCCTCCAAGCACTTGTCAAGGTGAGTGTGACACTCCTGCTGCTTCTTCACTGTGCTGCTTCTAAAGACACTTCTGGACTGCTAATCAGCTGGTACCGCTACCTGTCATCTTTATTCCCGCTTCCTATAATTACCATAAGGGTAGCTGATAAATATAAACTACACAGTGAGGAGACAGGGAACATCAATTATGAACTAAT